GAAAGAGGAATTTATTACAAAAGAGGTACAGACTCGAAAGGCAACAGGCTTGGAACCCAGCCTCCCATTCCCAGCTCCACGCAGACACTCCTGAAGCCTGGATTGGAGACAAGTGCTGCTGGCTGAGCATCATGACCCAGCTGGCATCTCGGTGATGAGACGCTGCAACTCTGGGCTTTCACCATGTCTGCAGTGAGATCCACTCTAGAAAAGACAGGCTGGTCCGGAAGGATGCACAGTGCAGGCACTGCACCCCACTACCCCCTCCTCACAGCAGTGCTCAGCAGGGGGAGGCTGGTGATGTCACACCAGGAGGAAGGTGGCAGCAGAGGCAGACAGCAGTCGCACGCAGGAGACAGTGGGACACGGTTACGAGTAGCCCATGGAACTTAGCTCTATGTGCAGTAGCATCACATCTTGCAGCACAGCAGGGACTGTCCCTTGGTGCCAAAGAGCAGCCCCCCCCTCCCTCCCACCAGCCTGCAGGGACTGAAGCCAGTCATCACACCCAGGGAGGGCGGGAGCTGGGAGCTCCACTGCCTGGCCCATACTGGCACAGCTGGCTTCAGACTGCATGTGCAGGACCCAGCTGGAGCCCAGGACGTGCCAAGTGCCTGGCTCAGCTCTGCAGGGGTCCCTGAGCCTCACACATGCAGTGCATCATCACAGACACAGGGAGGAAGGAGAGCCCGTTCCCATGCACCTTGGAGAAGGAATAAAGAAAGGATGCAGGTGGGGTAGGGAATGATTCTGGTCATGGGAACCTTGCAGAGGCACCAGGCTCCATATGCACCACAGCAGGAGAGAAGTGGCTTGTGTGGGCAGGAGTGCTGGTGAGGACATGTGCATGGGGCACGCAAAGGAACACACGTCTCCGGAGAGCACAACTGATGCGGTGCCAGAAAGCACATGACTGTTTAGCCTCTGGGCTTGTACAGCTCCCAGACAGTGCCCCTGCCACTGCCTCCAAGCACAAGCACGCCGGTAGCAATAAAGCTGCCAGTGACTGGCCTCATCTCTGTCCCTGACTCCAGGAAGAGCTCTGAGCTCCTTTGTTCTCTTGCCCACTGCCAGGCTCCTTCAGAGGACCTGCCATGGGCTTCATTCAAGCAAAGCGCAAAGACATCCTGGAAGGTGGCTCACACTTAGCCATGCGCACCGCATGTTCACTTCTGGCTGCTGTGCCTGCCTGCACAGTAGTGACAGGCGATGCTGGAATGTAGTAACAACTGTGCAGTCTGTGGCCCCAAATGTACACGTACGCCAAGACCCCCTGCCACCCTGCTCTCCCCCAAGCACCGGCTGCGCTGCCAGGGTCTGGCAGGATCATCAGGAGAGGAATGTTGGAAACCATCACCCTCTACACCTGCGGACAGAAACTACCACTGCTGCCTCCCTGGTGAGTACCCCTTCAGTCATTGCCGCTGGCAAGGCTGGGAGCTTTGGGTTCGGGCTCTCTGGATGCAGTCCCTTGTCCAGGCAGCATAACCACTCTCCTCAGACCTGGATCCCTCCCTTCCTGGCAGGCACTAGATTTGTCATTTCTGGTCAACCTGCTCAAGACAACGAGGATGCTGACCCCTGCAGAGAGGAGAGGCTGAAGCTGAAGGGGCTGAGATGATGGGCTGATTCTCAGTGAGACCTGGGGGAAGAAAGGGTATGTGGAGATGAAGCAGCCCTTCATCTGAGCTATGCCCCAGGGCAGCAAGTCAGAATCTGACACTTCCTGCTGGCTTCTGGCTCTGAATGGTGCCAGGCTGTCGTGTTACAGTGAAACAGTTCAAAGACCTCCCCCAGAGCCAACTTCCAAACACAGGGCAAGCCAAGGCGTCTCTCAGCTGCTTTCTGTAGCACAATCTGCAGGTCAGGTGGAGCTGGCTCTGCCACACTGCAGCATCCCTGTAATCCCTGGTGTCAGGGGAGGAGACAAGCATCAGTAGCATGGACCTTGTTTCAGGTAGTGAATGATTCCCCCACTGCCCCAGCATTTTCAGAGCCCTTGAAGCAGAGATTCCAGACCGGACCCCCTGCTCTGCTGTTCCTTGCTGTCCAGGCCAAGGCTCCATAATGCACCTGGAGATGACCATGCTCATGCTATGAACAAAAGGGCTCAGACCTGGGACTGCAGAACCAGATTTGGACACTCAATTCAGGCTCCATGGACAATGCTAAGGCCAAAAAACGTGGACGTGGCAGTCTTCCCGCACCAGGACGAGGCACCCATCCAGATCCACGGTGATGACCCGGGGCCTCTTCCGTTGCCTCTGGCTGCTCAGTATTTCCTCCCCTCTCCTGCCGTCTCTTGAGAATTGAATCACCTGGAACTGATCAACCACAAAAATATTGCCGAGGGCGTCCACACAGACACTGAATGGCTTCGAAAGTGGTGAGTGCGGTGCCTTCAGCACATTGAGGATCTGCCCTGACTTCTTGAGGATGAGAACCTGCTTCTTGACAAAGTCTGAGACGATGAATTCCTCCCAGGCATTGACAGCAACAAACAAGAACTTCCCATCCTCGTAATCCGGAGGTTTCACTCTGCCCACGCAGTGCCCGGAGGGGCTGTACAGGGAGATGGAGCAGAGCGTCCCCTCGCTGACAGCAACATAGGAGTCCTTGTAGGATGTGAGAGCATAGGAGGACTCACTTCCCCTTAGCCGCAGCTTGCGCAGGAACTTGCCATCCAGTGTCAAGAAGAAGAGGTACGTGTCTGAGGAGCAGGCCAAGGTGTCTCCACAGACTGAAATACCGCAGAAGCCCCTGTCATGATCCGGCAGAGGTATCGACTTCTGGAGAAACCCTTTAATGCTGTACTGCCTTATCTCTTCGTTCGCCTGGTCCAGGAGGAGATAGCCGTCCTTGTGCGGCAGGACTGCAATCCCCGAGATGCTGGGCTTTGAATAAGAGGGGTATTGTTCTACCTCAAAGGTACAGACACACACAGGCTGCAGCCCACGCCATCTGCATGGGGAAAGGCTCGCCTCAGGGGTGGAAAGCAACCTCTCGTCAGAGCTCAGACAATAGTCCTCCTCCGAGTCAAGGGATGACTCATCAAACCCCTCCCTGAGTGACACAGACCTCTCGCTGCCAGCCTCAAAAGTGTCCACGTCTCCTTCCGGCTGCTGCCTGGGAAAAGCCAGGCTGAAGAGCGCTGCTTTTGAGAGCTGTGTAGGCTCGTCCCAGGAAATGGTCAGTTTAGGGACTTGGCTCTTTAGCTCCCGCGGGGTGTATGCCTGGAGCTCCTGGATCCTGTTCCTTATCATGCCCTCCAAATGGAGGATCTCGTAGTCCTTCCCCACATCCAGGATCCTCTGGGAGAACTCCCTCGTGCTGATGGCTTTGTCTCTCTGGTTCTGCAGCTCCTCCTTCACCTGCTGATACCTCTCCATCTGCTGGGTCAGGAAAGCTGACAGCTCGCCCAGCGCAGCATCCTTCTGGGCGTGGAGGTAGGCACTGAGGTCTTCCACATACTTGGTGATCGTCTCCTTGATGTTCTCACCTGCAGCTTCCAGCGTGTCCATCGCCACCCCCACAGTCTTCTCCCGCTCAGAGATGCCAACAATGGTTCCCCCCAGGCTCTCGATCAGCTGCTCCACAGAAGGCCGCTCCCGCTGCACGGCGCTGGCCATGGACACCACCTTGTGCTCAAAGTGGTCCAGCATGCGGCAGTCCCTGCAGATGGGAGCGCCGCAGGTGTCGCAGAAGAACCGCAGCGCTTCCTGCTGGTGGTCCTGGCAGCACAGCTCCTGCAGAAGCCTCATCTCGGCATCGTGCTCCCCAGCCAAGAACTGCTCCAGCTTCACCACCTTGTGGTGCAGGGTGAGGCGGGAGCAGCAGTGGCCCTGCGTGCAGGTCTGGCACAAGAAGTCTTTGCAGTCCAGGCAGCGGGCAGTGGCAGGCTGGGTCCTCTGGGCGTCAGAGCAGACGGTGCAGGCCAGGTCGCGCTTGTGCTTGAGTTGGAATAGCTCCAGAAGGCTGTTGATGAAGAAGTTGGTTTTCGTAGTGGGGGCCCCGCCAGGGGCGTCCGCCTTCAGCCGGCACTCGGGGCAGTGCAGGGCTCCATCCTTCAGCAGCGGCTCCAGGCATCGCTGGCAGTAGCTATGGAGGCACGGCAGGATCTTCGGCACCGTGTACAGCTCGTAGCAGATCTTACAGGTCAGGAAATCCTCCCGGATTAAATCCTGCAGCGATGCGGAGGCCTGAGCCATCCACCACCACTGACACCTGCCAACAGCAGCACAGCTGTCAGGAGCTGCCCTGCTTCTGCACTCGGGGCCCAGGAGCCCCGCGCTGAGCTCCCCTCGGCTCCGTCCGCGCCCCCAGGCCCCCGCGCTCACCTC